CCCAGGTTTTCAAGGGAATTTTATTTCATTAGTATGCTACTACAGGTGTGTATTACATAACAGTAAAAAATTTCTCTCATGTTTTAACGTGTTCTGACATTGTATGGATACAAGTCCATTCATCATTGAGGACCGTCTGGTTGTGACCATGTAAGTTCACAAGAAAGAATGAAGTGCCCAAAGGAGTGACAAAATAAGTGAACTTTGCCTTATGTTTTAATAAAACAACTTTGACTTGAAGATAATTTACATAAAATGGAGTAAAAATGTTCTTAACCAGTTTTGTGTTGGGTGAAAAATGAAATGGAAAACAACCAAAATCTGTGGACATGGGTGTCAGTGCTCATTTTGAGGAGTCAGTTCTTTGATCACCCAGAAAATTAATGAAGAAATGCTCTGCGGAATTCCAGGTTTCTAGAACCTCCATGTGATGTCTGAGGAGGATGGAAAGCTGCCATAAGTATCAGCCCACATTTTTCAAAGATTTAAGTGGTTATGAAATGGATGTATGATGGCAGGCACCTTCCCAACCTTGGTGTCCCATTGTAATGCTATGTTCACTGATGAATGTGCTATATTATTTTAGTGCAAGGTCTTGAAATGTTTATGTCTGTGTAAAGTAAATACACATTTCTTTGAAGAAGTAGCACAACATCCACTTCATGTTGTGTGTGCTGCAGTCACCAGTGAACTGATTATTCGATCATACTTCTTGGATGTGTCTGTGATGGGTGAAAGTAAAGTAGACAAAACTTGATACATGGGCACAATACGGGATCAACATCAGCAGCAATGTCGGAACGTAATTATAAGTAACACATCAATTGAAAATGTTTCAAAATTTAAGTATCTGGGAGCAACAATAACAAACAGAAATGAGGTGCGTGATGAAATTAAGTGTAGAATATATTAGGGGGAACACTTGTTTTTATTCAATTCAAAAAGTGTTATCACCTCATTTTTTACCCAAAACACTAAAGATTATGATAAGTAAAAAAATAATTTTGCCTGTTGTCTTGTATGGTTGTGAAACATGGTCTCTTACCTTGAAGGAAGAACATAGATTACAGGTGTTTGAAAACAAGGTGCTCAGGAGGATATTTGGATGTAGGAAGGATAAAATAAATGGGGGATTTAGAATAGTGCAATAGTGCAATAGAGGAGCTGCGTGAAATGCATAGGTTACCTAGCATAGTGAGGATAATGAAATTTAGGAAGCTCCGATGGGCTGGACATGTAGCATACATGGGAGGGAAGGCAAGGGGTGCATCCATTAAAACAACCACTGGGCAGACCAAGAAGAAGATGGGAGGATAACACCAGGATGGATCTTAGTTAGGTGGGCTGTGAGGATGGTAAATGTTTGGAGTTGGCTCGGGTTTATGGCTGGTGGCAGGCTTTGGTGTTGTCAGTGTTGGACCTGTGGGTTCTGCTACCAGGGATTTAGTTTAGTTAGTTAGTGATGGGTGAAAGTTATTTGAAGGTGTTGTTCCAATGGATAATTCCAGAACTTGTTAATGTGAGCTTTCTAAACAGTATAATTTTGCAATAACATGGGACACTAGCCCTTTATGCTACTGACGTGCATGCCTTCCGGAGCAGCCACTTTCTACTGATTGGACAACGTACCTCTCATCTGGCCTTTCAGAAGTCTTGACCTGACCACATGTAACAGCTGGTCGTGGTCTTTAGTGAAAGAACAATTTAGCACAATTCACACATACTCTATTGCTGACTTAAAAGGCAAGGTTTGTCATAACTTCAACACCATTACATCAGCAAGGCTTTGACAAGCTTACTGGCATACTTGGTGACAAACGTAATTATGAGTTGGTAATGATGGTAACCATACTGGTAACTTGGTTGACTAAGAGCTATTTGGCAATTGGTGAGACAGCTGTTAATTCCATACATGTGCTTTGATGTGTTATGTTTATTTGTAATTATAATGTTTCTGTACTAAACTCCTACTCTTGTGTTATGCCTTCTATGCCATCATTGTGACTTTTGGCCATCCCTATAGTTGAATCAGATTGAAGAAAACAGGTGAGTGGTCATAGGGACATGCACACCATTCAGTAATGGGGTTCAGAAGAAGAAAATCTAAAAAGTTTCAGTACTTTCAATTTTGTTGCATGGAGATTTTATAATATATTATGATACTGATATTGAATTTATAGGTTTTTGAATATGCAGAAGATCTGGAACACTATTGGATTGATGGCTATGGATACAACATCACATACAAGCAAGCCTGTCCACCTGTTAAAGATATGATGCAACATTTTCTGTGAGTTTTTAAAAGTAGTTCTGGAAGCATTAATTCAAATACTATTGTGCATCATAAAACATGACAAGTATGGAATATGAGGTAGAGCACATAACTGAATTCCTTCAAAAATCAAATTATTTTAAATTTTTTATAATTGTACGCATTTATATTTTACAACATAAAAATATTAAATATGTTAAACATTCTGAACTATTAATTGGAGGAATTAGGGCAACTAATAATTTTCAGTTGTTAACAGTGGTTTGTGAAAAGGATTGAATGCCTGAAGAAGGACTCGTATGTCTGAAATATGTCATTATATTCTAGGATGCCTTTAACTAAGTGCTAGTGCACAATCTTACAAGACTTGTTGTACAGAGATGATCATTTAATAATATATATGACTGCGCCGTGACCGGTCACATTCCTGAGATTAAGACTGAATGGAGCTAATATTCCACTCCCCCTTATGTCTTCATGGTATGGTGCTTAATTAAACACAAAGCCAGCATTACGTAAATATTAATTCACAGAACACTGTTCTGGCCACTTTTGATGATAAGGTGACAGTATTTCTTGAAACCTGTCTATCATCATGTCTTGAACTAATAAATTATATTTCAGTGCAGAAGAAATACCTGGAGATGAACCAAAAGCTCAAGCTGTAGTGTACTTTGCTCACTCTGGTACTCTGCTGAAGATGCTGGCTCACCTTGGTCTGTACAAAGATGAAAATGCATTACTTCATAGCAACTTCAATACAGTGGGGAAATACAGGAAATGGAGAGTTAGTCAAATTGACAGCTTTGGAGCCAACTTAGCATTCATACTTTTCAGGTTTGTATGATACTTTATGTTAATATATATTATGTTAAATCTGGACAGAAATTATCTCTGCATTTTATTTGTATTATATGCTACCAATGTGTGTGCCAAATACGAAGTAGAATAACTAATTATTGCACTACTGAGCAGGCTTATGTAACAGTAGTGGTGCTGTACATTTTGCATAAGGAGGTACGTGGCTTAAATCTTGGCTAGGCTGCCAGAAATCCTAAGTTTTTTGTGGGCTTCCTCAGACTCCCCAAGTGAATCTTGGCATATTTCTTTAAAATTGGCAAATTCTACCTACTTCAAAATCCTAAACTACTCATTTTCAGAGTTATTAATTACTCCATCTTATTTAATGATGTATAACCTATGTAGATAAAACAGCATCATTAAATAATCCAAGAATTAACCAGTAGTCACTACACTTCATTTTTCAGTGATACTACTCGGTCAATCTGTGTTCTGTGTGCTATGGCCATATTGAAACAGCATACAACCTTGTAAAATTGCTATTTTGGACTTTGTTTATTGTCTGAACTATAAAACTGTAACATTTTGGAAGCTGAATTCTGCTTTTGTCTTAGGTATAAAAGGTGGGGGAGGACAGAAAGCCTGTCTCATGCACCACATGGTTGTATCTGCACTTAACTGAATGCTTCCTGGAACAAATGCAGGAAGTACGTTAATCCAATGTGTCAACGTGTTCATTTGTGACTGTGATGGCTGTAGAATTATGTTCACATATTTTTCAATTATAGAATATTATTACTTTATATGTTTGGTAACTCTTATATTGCAGGTGCAATGGACAACTGAAGGTGTTGACTTTGCATCAGGAGAAACCTGTCACTTTGCCTGGCTGTCCTAAATTTGATTTATGTCCATTAAATGTCCTGAAGCAGCAGTATAAGGAAAGTTTCACTGATTGCAACTTTAACGATATTTGTGCATTGTCTCCAGAGGCTGCATAATATGTACATTTTGGAATTAAAAAGTGTCAGGTACATTAATGTGTTCAGTCAGTGATATATATTTCTCATTTATTGAAAGCAAAATTCTGTCTGCAAGTGCGTGTCAGTAATCTAACCTAACTCAACCAATTATATTCCCTTGTAAACTGATCTTTGTGCATGGTCATCAGCACTTAACCACTCAACATAACATAACATAACCTCACCCAACAAACCTAACCTAACCTAACATAACATAACTTAACCCAACCTAATCCAACTCAAGTAACACCCTTTAAAACTCTGTGTGTATTTCTGCTTCTTAAATATATATTTGGCTGCACACCTACTGATATTTGTACATTACTCATCTTTAATATGTTAGGTTTTATACATAATAAATATGATAGTTATCTGTATGTTACCAAAATATCTCGTGATACCAAGGAGAAGACACGTGTATTACTGAACTTTTATTGGGAACTATAACGTTTTGAAATGGATCCTTCTTTTCAGTATTATAAGTTAATTTGTTATACTTCTGGTGATGATATGAAGATTGAAATTGATACAAATTACTTTTGACTTAAACCCTTTACTGGGCACTGAAAATATGTTATGCCAATTATAATATTTCAGCTTTAAGCTTGCAATTGTCTGTGTTTCAACTCAAACATATTTGTGAACATGACAGACAACTTCATGGTCTGTTAATCAAACATCGTTACTAGTCTGAGAGATGAGAAACGAAGATCACGATTATTTTAAATGCTATGGAGATCAAATTAATTTGTTTACAAATATTTTTAATTGATTAGAATTATCATATATTGTCAGACTGTATTACAGGGTTAAGTGATAATGTTTAATTACTTAACATTTTAAATATCTATTTTGTGATGTAAAATGCAGATTTAATTTAATTTTTAATGGATTATTGTAACACATAAAATTATTTTATTAAAATTCTATAAAATGATTTTAGTTCTGGTTTCTCTTGTTATCAACATGTGTTAAGGTATGGTTCCACTAGTGCAAAAGAACCACGCGGCTTCTGCAATCAGGAGTTTTAGTGCCTTTTGCAGAATCACCTCTTAGCAAGCCACATATAACTAACCGTGCTTGTAAAAAAATATTTCTCTCTTGAATCGAAGCACAATTATTTTAAAGAATGACCTTGAGCGTTACTGATTATCATACAAGCATCTACTGCAATTAGCTTTCATTATGCAGAAAAACCATCTTCACCAGAACTCGAATCCAGGACACATTTCTCGGGGTTGTGGCCTTTGTTCATATAATATCCTTGATAAAACAAACAATTTTTTGCTTTACCGTGTTCTGCCATCATTTGTTTCTACGGTAAATAAATCTTAGGATATCCAACCGAGGAAAGTTTTTCGGGGCTGTAAATGTTAATTTTGGAAATTAATGACAAGATTTACAATTTCTCTGAAATTTTAAGAGGATGGTTTCATTTTTGGTTTACAAGACCAATATTATCTTTAAATAATTAATACTACCGTGGCCGTTGCTCCTGCCATCCTCTAAACAATTTTGGTCTCGACGCTGTTCTGTCGTGCTTGGTCTTTGAGCTACAGTAACTACCCTCACTGGGACATGAATCCAGAACACTTCCTGAGTTCTGACCTTTCTAAAATCTCTTCGTGGTTTTAAGGCATATACATGCCATGTTTGGGAACAATTGGCATTTTCCTTCTATAGCTGGAAGACAAATACTTAGAATTTCCATTTTCATATGCAGTGTACAAGGTGAGTGTCCTGTGTCTTTCAATTTTTGTCTTTTGCTGGTCTTTCTTCAAGCGCTTTGTACATAAATACAGCGCTAACGAAATATATGCTGCACATTAATCGCCAAGAACCAGTTTCTGGTTTGATTGCATACAGCCTTCGTAACATCTTCATTGTTGATACTGTCGAATTTCAATACCATTCATGCATAACACTTGTCCGTGCCACTGTATCCTTAATTTTATAATTTGTCTTGTAATCTTTCGTTCTACCTCATAGCATGTCTGATGCCCTTGTTTAAGATTTGTCCCATTTGATTTGTTTATTAACACACTATTGAAACTTAATCTCTAGTACTTATGTTTATCTTTCGTTCTTTCTACACAGATTTCTAATTAAAAAGTTATGTATAGTAATTTAGGGAGATCTCGACACTTTTTAAAAAAATTCGCTCTAGCGACAGCTGCACTGTAGTGGCAAAGACTGTAACTGTACAGAAGATAGCCTACCATATAGTGATCAACGTGCAACTTCAAAGGAGTCTGTTTTTGCAAGTCTCAACCTCGTACTTAACCTTAAAGACGACCAGGTGAGTTTTACATACCCTAAATAGCACATGCTATAATAATTACATTCCAGATAATGATAATTACACTGGATGCACATGGCATTTATGGATTAATAGTTATTGTGGTGACAACTCGCACTTTCTAAAGGATAGCCATGCTATGTGAACTGACAAAAACTTCAACTGTGACCAGTGGTGACATCTATATTGTAATCCTGTAAGTCAGGGAGGTTTCGACACAGTGTACTGGGGAGATCTCGACCTCGACATGTCGAGTTCTCCCAGATATATCTTTTTCTGGTTATGAACCTTATGATACGGTGTTCAATCTACTTCACAGGTAAGAAAAATGCCTCGAATGTACCACTACCAAGGAAAGCTTGGACAGTGGAAGCCTGAAAACATGGCTGCGGCAGTGAAAGGAGAAAGAAATGCCGCTAGCAACTGCAGCAAAACATGTGGTGTTCCTAGAAACACACTGAAGTCGAGATTAACCACAGGCAGCGTAAGCAACAGGCAACTTGGGAAAGGTGCTACACTGAATGCAGCTATAGAAGATCAGTTGGTCCGCCATCTACTTCTTCTGGGTTCCAAAGGGTTTGCATTGACTGTGACCGATGCCAGAGTATTGGCCTTTCACTTTGTGGAAAAGAACGGGCTAAACCATAAATTTAATTTAGAGAAAAAAATGTCAGGGTATGATTGGGTTTATTCTTTCTTACATAGAAACCCAAACTTAAGCGTACGGAAGGCTCAGGGTCTGTCATATGCTCGCTCGACAGGGTTAAATAAAGAGGAAGTTGGTAAATTCTTCAGAAACCTCAGTGAAATGTACGACGAACTCGGGTTGTGGGATGAGCCTGGCAGAATTTTCAATGCAGACGAAACAGGACTGCAACTGATCTTCAAACCAGGCAAGGTGATATCTGCAAAAGGAAAGAACGATGTTTATCATGCAACGACAGGGGAAAAGGGCTCAACTGTGACAGTTATGGTGTGCACCAGTGCAACAGGACAGGCTGTACCACCCTTTGTCATCATGAAAGGGGTGAGGAAGAGAGATGCATACTCGAAAGGAATGCTTAATGGATCCGTTGTGCACATGTCCGACTCCGGGTACATGACGTCTGAGGCATTTTCAGTGTTCCTTAATCATGTTAGCAGGTGCAAACCGCGAGGAAAAGTTCTGCTAATATTAGACGGGCATGCATCCCATTGCAAAAATCCAGATGTACTTGAGAAAGCATCAGAATTAGGAATTGAAATGCTGTGCCTACCCCCGCATAGCACCCATAAGTGCCAGCCTCTTGATGTTTCTTATTTCAAGAGCCTTAAGCACTTTTACAACGAGGCCTGCAGAAGCTTCGTTCGCCAGCATCCAGGGAAGGGAATTACCAAGGAGGACTTTGGTGACCTGTTGAAGCTGGCATGGGATAAGTCAGCAACAGTTGGTAATTTGACTAGTGGGTTTCGAAAATGTGAAATCTACCCATACAACCCTGGCGCAGTGGCAGATGATGTCTTCGAGTATGAGCTTGTGCCAGCGCTGAATGGTGGAGATCCTGTTCGTCTTGACTCCCCTACACCCTCATCAACTTCTACGTCCTTTGAAGAATTGTCACCAGTTCCAGTGGTAAAATCCCGAAGTGACTCCTCTATTCGCAAAGGAAGGAAGAAACAGGAATCGGCCGTTGTAACATGAGCAGCCTTCAGGGAAAAACTGAGAGAGAGCAGACAGAAAAGTGGAAAGCCAAACAGGCGTATTGAAATGAAGACAATTATTAGCCGCCATTCAAAGCGACGGCTCGGGACGGATGTTCCCAGCTCCTCAGGTAACATCAACCGTGTTGAAAATTACTGTGGTGTGTGCAGTGCCTACTATTACGATGACAAAGCTGGCGAACAATGGGTTAAATGTCTCGGCGACTGTGGAAGATGGTTTCATGAAACTTGCGTGGAAAATGGAGCAGATAACCAGTTCACATGTAACGCCTGTTTTTAATTTTGCATATTTACTGTTTATTGACATTATTTTATGAATTCAAGTTGTTTCTGTTCAGTATTTACAGTCTCCTAATATTTCCCATGCACATGTCGAAATCTCCCCAAACACAGGGAGAAGTCGACATTTTGCCTCCATTTCTTTTTTTGTTAATCGCACTGTTTCCCTTAAACTTGCCTGCTTTATTACTGTAGTACAAATAAAACATACCTACATGGATAATATATGAAAATTTCTGTTTTTAATTTTCAAAAAATATTCCTGAAGCCTAGAGTTTTTTCTTAAGGTGTCGAGATATCCCTAAATTACCCTACGTGGTACTCATTTCCATTTAGTTTCCTGTCTGTGATCTGTGTCCCAGCAGTAACGGTGCTTTTGTTGAACGAATGTGTATACAATTTAGCAGGAAGTTCTTACAATTCGAGGTCGTCCGGAAGCCATATTTCTGAAATATATATTTTAAACAAAATTAACTTAGATACTGTACAGATTCTCGAGGTGGAAGCACCACTTATGGCACGGAATGCGTAATATTTCAAAAAATGATATATCATCTGTGGATTTTGTTCCCATAGATTATAGACACATTTTCATTGTCTATTCACGATTGCCATAGGACATTTGTTTGAATAAATTGAGCTCTGTTATCACATAATTAGAATAAAACTTGATAATCTAACGATGACGATAATTGATTAAAACCTACACGTATTTGGTATAATAGGAGAGTAAACAATAGACACGCCTACAAGATATGTGTTACGCTTCGCATGTGCTGATAAGTAAAAACTGCTATGGCACTAACCCTTCAGTTTTACGTTATGGAACAAATTTCAGATTAATGCTTAGAGAATAGTAAAAAATAGCAAATTGTGTTTTCAATACTTTGTAGCTACAATCAACACTTTTTGGCTGCCTTCAGAGAGACCTTTCCACATCTAAAAGTTTCCAGGGATTCTCAGGGCTGGAAAGTTTGAGAAATTATAGTAGAAACAAACAAGCAATATTTGAGGTTCTCACGGCGGACAGGAGGAAGGTAATTGTCTTCTGGGTTGCTGCACCATGTAGAGTGATACCATGATGATGGAGACGGCAAACATCACTGAAACGTCGGCGAACTTCTACCAGACTACACGGAGAAACCGCCTAGAATACAATCCTCTTCATAAATAACAAATAGCACATTCAAACTGCTTATTATCAACTGATTTTTTCGTGTTTCACGACAAACTCTAGGATGATATATTACAAAGATGTGGGAGGAAGTGTTCGTGATCCATATTCTAGGTACCATCTGAGCACTTTCTTTAAAATACTGAGAAAAACCATGATAGACCCTCAGTCAGTATTATTGGTCGCTGAGCCGAGATTCGAAAATCAGACGTCTATAATACAAAGTAGGAGCAATGTTGGATACGTCTGTTATAACATTAATGATAGGTAAATTTGTGACTGTAAAACAATAGTTACCTCTAGTTATAATGAACAATTGATATAGCAGAAACGAGATAATTGCATTTGCCGATTAAACAACGTAGGGGCAGAGCAGTGTGAAATACTTATCAATAAGGTGGCAAGCACATACTTTGTTTTGTGGTTAAATTCTCTGCCCAGCAGTTTCATTAAACGCCTACTGTAATATTTTAAAGAGTTTGCAAAATTTCGTAACGTGGAAGATTTTGAGGTTAGACACCCCGCCCTCGTTCTGAAGCTGGAGTACCACCCCTTGTCGGCTGTAAGAAGCTGCTTATTCGATATATTTACAACTACCGGCTCATATCTGGAGTCCTGTCTTCTGTTTGCAAACTGAAGACGCACTATACCGTGGTGACAAGGGCCACCCATAATAATGGTCCTTGTGAATACAGTGACGAATTTTTTGGTTCCATAAAATAGGAGAAATTTCTCAGCCAGCTGTCGAATACTAGCTTCCAAAGAATTCTGCACAATTTTTGTTAGTCTATTTCGCGCTGAATGATGGGGGAAGAAGATCACGATTGGTGAAAGTTAAGGATTTAGGACTAGGCGGTGCTTGATGATCATATTTTGGCACTGGCCTGCAGAGACCGAGAAAAATCAAGAAGAACATTAGAACAGCCGGTGAAAGATTGGAATTCGAAGCTGGTACCTAGCGAAAATAGTTGTAGAGCGTCATCGCTAACCAAAGATGCTTTGTATGTCTGAATAAACTCTGTCCGTGAAGACTTATTCAGTACAGACATTGGCTACGGCTAGGTTTTGATCCGGGGTAAACTTCTTTACAATGTTTACCACCCAGGACAATGGACATCGCAGGGCCCTGCTGAGCGCTACTAGATCCGAAATTTTGGTTACGTGCGAAGCTAGACACAAGGGCGCCTTACTTTCCATTCTGCTGTCTCCGTGTAGTGTCTGGGTTAAAACCGGCTTGTAAAAATGGCGATGGCGAGGTGCGAGTGGGCACAATGACAGATACAGACGCATGTCTGAAAGGAAAGGAAATTTTTCTTTTTCCAAGTGCTTCTCCGTATGGACATCAAACGGAAGTTGTCTATTTGAAACAAAATAAATTGGAACATTTAATGTAATCTGGATGGTTTCCAGACATACGTTTCGATCGTTGTCTGGTATCAACTTTGACGCTAGAAAGAAAGATATCAATTCTGCATTAATGTCTTTACATCCTATGTTTGTTATTAAAAGAGTATACTACCATCTATTTCATGATTATATATAACTTTTCAAATACAAATGATAATATGGAACAACGTTTACGATCTACAGCACTAAAACTGCATTTTCACTTTATCGGAATTCACATTTATTATTAACCGTACAAAGTTATCTTAACAGATAATGAACATTATCTGCATTACACTGCATTCAAACTTTCCTCTGAGGCAATTTCCATAAAATCATATAAGAGAGGTTTATTTTTATCTAGTCTGCTTCCTTTGTATACATTAGCAAGTTAACTTCAGCTGGCTTTTGGCAGCAGCTTGTTCATGACAGCTTCTTCACTTGACTCCTGTCTTGGTATCAATGCAGATCCAATACAGAGAGCCATCAGTTTCGAACATGCAGTTGATCATGGAGGATGAGATCGTTCTTTTAGTAATACTGCTGCTGCAACCAGTTATTGTCGAACTAATGTTCACGGATTATAGTGTCGTCAGTGTTGTTTTTTATCATTTACCTTCTACCATTTAATGGAATTGTTAAGGTGTTAGCAATAAAACTAATTCAGTGACAAAAGACTGGCATCAAGTTCTGAAATATGTTCACCTAATTTTTTCATACGTTGAACATATAAGTGCTCTGATACTTTTATAAAGAAAATACGATATTTAACCTCTGGAAAATCTGTCATTTAATTAATATTTTTGTACTTATAATAAATCAAATTAATTAATTGAGAGAGGCTTGAATTATGACAACAATACAGGACTCCAATAATTATCAAAAACGTCTAGAACACATCTGAAGATATGACAGAGGCACTAATACCAGCTGATCCGTCTCTTTCACCATCGGTAAGTCACAGAGATAAATGCCAATGCGCGATGGGGAGCAATATTTTTACAGCTAAAATCTATAAAATATTATCGACATGTAAAGGCCTTTTAATGTAACATAAATTTGCCTTAATCTCAAATTCAGACGATAATTCGTTCTTCTACTATAACTTAAGGGATTGAAAGATTATAAAAAAAATCTGGGTTACTTCGAGTAATAGAAGTCTATGTAAACCTGTATATTGTTCAACAAGTGTGTGAAGTTACATAGACATTTTCTGAATACCATGAATTTTTCTCTCTTCATCCTGTACGTAAAAATTATACCCACATTTTTAAAAATTGTACTACCGAATTAGCGTAAGACCATTTTCTTACTTTCTTACCACTGTGTTATGAAACAAATTTAAATTTGTACAAACACTTTAAATTCAGTTTCCAAAATAGCCTTTTTGGCATTTACTGAAAAGAATGGGCTATTCTGATAAATACTGTAAAATTTGTTAAAAACTTTCGAAAACAAAATACAAATGTAATCATGCTTTTGGATCGGCAAACAAATCTTTGAAAAGGAAGGAAATTAATTTAATTGAAATACTTGGTTAAATTGTGCTTAGAGCGGGTTAGTGTAAGAAATTAAGACACAAATAAAGTAAGATTGACGGGAAAATTCTTTTGCCAATCTCTTGTAACAAGATGTTGAGAAGAAATACTTCAGTCTAATATGGCAATGTTAGTAGGAACAAGGTCAATATAATTTATAAGTATTTAGCTACCTATTAGTGTGTATAATCCGCAGTTGCCAGGGAATAAATGGATGTAAGTCCAATAATTACAAGGGAAGTATTATTGATACTTCACAGCCTGCATTTCATATTAGACGTAATAAAGCAAAACTATTACTTCTCAGCCTTAAGTTCTATATGTTGAAGCTTAATCATATTAATACACTTTTTTGTATTAAATCAATAAACCTGTTTTGAGAACTTTTTGAAAATTGTTTTTCATTTTTTGAACTTTTAGAACTAATTCCTTCTTACTCTGGCAAAGACTAATTTTCACAGCAGAGTAAATTTAATAATGTAGATAACTTAAACATTTCATCATCGTGTTGATTTTCATATTTAACACATAAGAAAATTTACATGAAACATTATTGATTATGCTTATTATCTGTCATATGAAATTTCGCGAAACTAGTTTCAAGTGTTCGTTAGTTACAGCCATCAAACTGATATCTAAATATCGATTCCCTGCAGCCGCCGCCATGTTATTAAGCATTCTAATAAGAAAAGATACATTAAAATGTTGCAAAATTTTCGAGGATCTGTTATTACCAAAATTTCAGGATTCTAGTACAACATATCAGGCGATAAAACAGTATCTCCCATCTTACAAGTTCGCACCACTGTAATTACCAATGGAAAATTTGTCTGTATCATAATAACATTTCTACCTAGTTTCATGAACATTTCGTCAATTGTTTCACAGGTTATAAAAGAGGAATTTTATGCAGGGCCTGACTAATACACGCCCACGGTGATACTTACAAAATAAGGAAAGTATGTTGAACCCCTAGTTTCTGTGGTGGATATCTCCAGTTTAGACCAGTAATATACCACCTTTTAGACAGTCGAAGATAATCGATAAAATATCACCTCAGTATTCTTGGTTATTGAGGAGCATTCAATTTGATACACTCCTCAGATTAGAAATAATTTGCTGCGAGATTTAACAATTCCGTTATCGGTTAAAGCATTTTCATAAAATACTCGAGTCCGTTCTAAAACGCATTAATCCGACGTAATTTTAGTCCACATTAGGCAACATAAATCACGAAGATGTAATATTTGGATAAAATATTTAAAAACAAATTTGTTCAAATATGCACGTATTCCAAACAAAAGCTGTAGTTTCTATGAAACAGACATTTTATTTATACACAGTTTTTAGTACATATTCTTTTGGCGATTACGGTATTAAAATCTTTTTACATACTTAAAATGTGAATAGACGACCCATCTATTTATAAGACACTGCGCGTTTTGTCAACGTTGTTTAAGTCATGATACAGTAAGGTGTTATACGTTCACCATGTTTAAACGTCTGTCTCATCTAAAGAATTTCTCAGAAGCAAGAAATGTAATGGTATCATAAATCAAAGGCTTTTATTAGCAGTAGGTTATTCAAAACCACGGACATCCGCATGTCAGTGCAGTATAAAGATCTAAGGGATATTTTTACATACGAATGTCCTGATTTGAGCTTAACTGTTGATGACTGATGTCAACTGGAAACACATTACTTTGCAATTACAGCAGTGTTAAAGTCAGCCAAAATGTCAGTAAAAACCTCAAACTATTCATGGGCCTAGCATCATAGACCTATCGCCTAAAGCAATTAAAAGAAACACAGAACTTCTTTCATGTGCTTCAGATTTGAAATTTCCGGTGCGAGGCGCTCAAGTCAGACCTTGTATCCAGATCATTTGTATGCGTCTTAGACCCAATCTTCTGAATGACAAACTTTCGCCACTCTAGCACATCTGTACCTTTTAGTAGTTGCTATGGCCACACAAGCGCAAATTTGTTACCTAGGTTGCCATGGAGACAGCGATTTTATATGGGCTACTTGCTTCTGAGACGACCGTTATAGTTTTATTACAGGGCAATAAATTGTGTTTGCATCGTAGTTGAGTGGTGTTTAACACGCCAGAGACTGGCTGACCTCATTAAGGTTGTTTTCGATTCCTCCACTTCTATAAGTATTGGCGCTGCGAAGAGTACCTGACAATAAACAGTAAAAGTGGTGCTCAAATACTTTGTTCGTACGTTCCACCGTCTGTTGAAGTTTGATTTATTACGTGGAAAATTTCATTAGTTTGCCATTCTTATTATATAAAGACCTGGAAGCCAATAGAGTAAAATCACTATGTGATTGAATGTCCTTCATAATCACTTTACAACAAAATGGTTACTTTAATTAAATTGGCCCTGAATGTCATTTCAAGATTTGTAGTTTATTTTTTGTTAATTTTTATGGCAGTTGTAGTCTCTAAATTAAGTGATACGAGATTGTTATTGTCATTGAAATATCCGCAGCAAAACTTCTTATTCTTCTTCATTGGTTATATTTTCCGGGAGGTTTGTTATGCACCATTTCACAACCACAATACTGTTGGTCAGCAAGGTGTGAATGATTCATCGGGAAAAATTGTCTTACTTCATTTCTCGGTGGCGGTCCCCCATTAGTACGATTTCCTTTGGTGTATTCCTACAGAAAATGTCTGAGCAGTTCTATTAAGCACTGCAAAGTACTTCTTGGTATTTCTTATACTGTGTGTTTTATGTATGTATCGCGGCACAAAAAATGGTGGTGTATAGCTGCAACACAAAATATGCAAGTCCACTCACGGCCAGTCCAGTTTGTCTAATTGTACATGGATGAGAACTCCCATCGTCTGTCAGGACATCGTGGCTTGGCTGAAATTATCGCCACAGATGCATAAATGTAAACAGAAACTGTGAACACGATGTAATCCACTGTTGCAGGAGGAACGTCGACGGACTGGTCGGTACGTCGCTGTAAGTCTGGTTGTCATAGCTTGCCTTCTGGGGCTGCACCACGCTTTCGTAAAGCAGAACGTGGTCCTCGCTGGTCTCATAGTGCCGGCTCTCATCATGGTCTTCTACATCCTCTGGGTCCTGCACACCGCCAAGAAGGCCAGCTGCAAGCACGCTGGTCTCGATGTAAGTTATATCAATAAGAAGGGTTTTACCTGGATTGGAAAGGCTTAGTTTTGTTTTATCACATAGCTATTTGCAGTTTCGTACGTAGATAAATATTTACATCTCTTATGCTAGCGAGGCTTTCATCAACTATTATGGTTTTCGATTTTATTAATGTGATTAATATATTTCCTTAAGGCGAATATTGGACTAATATCAGAAAAGCTCAAAGGTCTATTGGGTATCGTACCTCTGAAAGTAAAATTTCTGCTTCACATTCGAGGGTTAAGATTGACCTTAGTTATTTTGGCGACTGAACTGTTCGATGTTCATCAGAATCTCGAGAAGGAAGCTTATATAATGTCGTAACTATGTTGCAGTACTATCCTCCATACTCATCCATAAGTCACAATTTAAAATAACCACATTTTGAAACTACTTTCTCACCAATAGAGTGGCGAATATACGGCAGTTAATCCAAAACATCTGGTGACTCTATAAAATTTTATCCACAAGCTAGGCAAGTATATTACTCATTTAATTTCTGAAACAAATATGTCAATTTGATATCTATATTAACTATCCACTTAATATTAAGCATTTAATTAATATTGTAAATATGTTATTATCGTATTGGACCATAAAATATTACAAACATGTACGCGGGCCGCACAGAATATATCAGCGGACAGTAGGTTGAGAATCAATGAACTAAAAACTAAAGATTTTATTCGCTGAGTTGTATTCATATTTTTGGAATAAGGGGTGAATTTATTCGGAATGAGGTATAACTGAGACCAGTATTAACAATTTCTATGCCCGCTTGATTTGAACAGGTATTTACGTAGTAGACTACGCTAAGTTAAAGAGGGTACGGAGTAAATTTGTAGGATTTAAATCCCTAGAGTAATTCTTGGAAGTTAAGTTTACTCATCACAAAACATGCCAGGATACAAGAAAATAACTGAGATATTTGTCAGCAAAAGTTCCGAACTTTCGTGAAGCTCCTACACTTAAGCAACACATTTTGTTGCCACAAACTTACGTGACCTTTAGCTGTCACTGTTTTCTCGACGAAGTGTATTTTTCTGACCACATATGTACCAGAGGACTGGAGTTCTATATGTGGCAGAACACTGCTCTGCTTCTCTCGTAACCACCCATCCAATAAATACTGAGAATTTTTCTCCGGTAGTGAAAGTGGTCAGAAGGTGACGCTGACTTTCAGCTACATCTAAAGCAGAGGTCATAAACTACCTGCCCCTTTACTACATAATTGATGCTACATAGGCACTTCACATTTAAAAACACTTATGTGGGAATCGTCATGCCATCAAGTATCAGACGCAGTTTGGCAGATCCGGCGTGCAGATAGCTTTCAATTATCGTCAAATCATTATTCTAGTCACTGACCCACTAAATATGTGACTGGAGTTCGAAAATGAAGCGTGTACAGACGTGTTTGTGAACAGTCACATTCGAAATAATTTTGCCAATGAGATTTGAGGTTCTCACGGCGTCATAGCTTGCCTTCTGGGGCTGCACCACGCTTTCGTAAAGCAGAACGTGGTCCTCGCTGGTCTCATAGTGCCGGCTCTCATCATGGTCTTCTACATCCTCTGGGTCCTGCACACCGCCAAGAAGGCCAGCTGCAAGCACGCTGGTCTCGATGTAAGTTATATCAATAAGAAGGGTTTTACCTGGATTGGAAAGGCTTAGTTTTGTTTTATCACATAGCTATTTGCAGTTTCGTACGTAGATAAATATTTACATCTCTTATGCTAGCGAGGCTTTCATCAACTATTATGGTTTTCGATTTTATTAATGTGATTAATATATTTCCTTAAGGCGAATATTGGACTAATATCAGAAAAGCTCAAAGGTCTATTGGGTATCGTACCTCTGAAAGTAAAATTTCTGCTTCACATTCGAGGGTTAAGATTGACCTTAGTTATTTTGGCGACTGAACTGTTCGATGTTCATCAGAATCTCGAGAAGGAAGCTTATATAATGTCGTAACTATGTTGCAGTACTATCCTCCATACTCATCCATAAGTCACAATTTAAAATAACCACATTTTGAAACTACTTTCTCACCAATAGAGTGGCGAATATACGGCAGTTAATCCAAAACATCTGGTGACTCTATAAAATTTTATCCACAAGCTAGGCAAGTATATTACTCATTTAATTTCTGAAACAAATATGTCAATTTGATATCTATATTAACTATCCACTTAATATTAAGCATTTAATTAATATTGTAAATATGTTATTATCGTATTGGACCATAAAATATTACAAACATGTACGCGGGCCGCACAGAATATATCAGCGGACAGTAGGTTGAGAATCAATGAACTAAAAACTAAAGATTTTATTCGCTGAGTTGTATTCATATTTTTGGAATAAGGGGTGAATTTATTCGGAATGAGGTATAACTGAGACCAGTATTAACAATTTCTATGCCCGCTTGATTTGAACAGGTATTTACGTAGTAGACTACGCTAAGTTAAAGAGGGTACGGAGTAAATTTGTAGGATTTAAATCCCTAGAGTAATTCTTGGAAGTTAAGTTTACTCATCACAAAACATGCCAGGATACAAGAAAATAACTGAGATATTTGTCAGCAAAAGTTCCGAACTTTCGTGAAGCTCCTACACTTAAGCAACACATTTTGTTGCCACAAACTTACGTGACCTTTAGCTGTCACTGTTTTCTCGACGAAGTGTATTTTTCTGACCACATATGTACCAGAGGACTGGAGTTCTATATGTGGCAGAACACTGCTCTGCTTCTCTCGTAACCACCCATCCAATAAATACTGAGAATTTTTCTCCGGTAGTGAAAGTGGTCAGAAGGTGACGCTGACTTTCAGCTACATCTAAAGCAGAGGTCATAAACTACCTGCCCCTTTACTACATAATTGATGCTACATAGGCACTTCACATTTAAAAACACTTATGTGGGAATCGTCATGCCATCAAGTATCAGACGCAGTTTGGCAGATCCGGCGTGCAGATAGCTTTCAATTATCGTCAAATCATTATTCTAGTCACTGACCCACTAAATATGTGACTGGAGTTCGAAAATGAAGCGTGTACAGACGTGTTTGTGAACAGTCACATTCGAAATAATTTTGCCAATGAGATTTGAGGTTCTCACGGCGGCAATTATGAAGATGGCTGTCTTCTGGGCTGTAGAGTGGTATAGTGTAATATTAGTTTACCGACGTTTCAGAGGTGCTTCCATCATCAGACTGTTATGGCGCAGTAACCCAGAAGATAGCAGTCTTAAATTTTGGCATGAGTGGAAATGCAACCTCATGGTTTTCAGCTTAACATATTCAATGATCTGTAGCAATTCAGCGTTTCCAAAAATTTTCTTTTATCTGACGACTTATTTTCTTGTATAAAAAGAAATTCATGGCTGCGCCACGACCAGGTTTTGTTTGTTTTGTGTTTACTTGACGATGACAGATAAACTACTACAATTAACGTCAAACATTTGTGATATGGACCACGAACTAAAAACGCCCATGGCGAAAGAGGTTTTGGTCTATCGTGAGACACCATATTGAATATTTACTAAAGAAAATGAAACAGAGAACATGTTACGACAAGTCTCCGGGCCAATATTTGAAATATAAATCTTCCTTATACGAAACAGAAATGGTAACCTCTACTTAAGACTTTCAGTTACTAACTTAGTTGTCTTCCCTGCCACAGATGTACAGTTGTGTTTGGAATTTTTCGCATGTTTATGGTTCAGTTACTATTCCGGAAATTAGAGTCTCACGATCGGCCGGTTGTTAAAATGCATTAATTTGTGCCACCGGAAACATTACATTGGCATACTGCCAACATAAAATTTCCTTAATTTTCAGCTATGTGTACATGCATTTGAATTGGTTAATGATGAATAACTCCAAAGTTTGAGATGACAATTTGAAGACTCCTTCATCTGATTGAAATTCTGCCCACACAAGAACGTGGTAAAAGGTTCCAAAATTTATAGAAGTTAAATTAAATCACGAATTTCACAGTATGTACAAATCCATTTTTGTTTGAAGTGTAAGACACTAAAGAAATAAACCTTCAAATCCACGCAACGAAAGAGAGCTCTATGACAAATTGAAGAAATCAAAATATTTCTTCAAAGCAACAGAACTTTGCTGTCAGGGAAACTGGATGTTGGGAACTTTAAACAAATGTGTGTACTGTGAGACGCCAAGGGGCCTGCCACCATCACAATTTTTGTGTCTGCCTAGCTAAATAAGGAATGAGAAGAAAGGCTGGACCTCGATTAGCAACTTGAAAAATAAATAAATATATATATAAAAAACAAAGTGTTCTTTGTTACGTATGTGGTTCAGTGGTTCTCCATACACTGGAACACAAAAGAGCCGATCAGATAAAACGCATCGTTCGCAAGCTTCAGCCAGTGAGGCACTCCCGGGGAGAGCAAGCCTCAACAAAGACCTTTTATTTTTCTTCTTTCAAAATGTTAGCCAGACTAATACATTTTATATGAATACGAAATACCAATACCATGAAATGTGAATCATATACAGTAAAACTTTCTTACAACGGAATTAAAATATACAAAAATGTTTTTCTTCAGTTTCAGACGGTCTTCTGTCTCACATATATATTTACCTATAACTAACTAATTAGATGACTTACCGAACCCGAAGGTTCTTCACCGAATTAACCAAAGCCCTCCACCGGACCCTGTCCTGGGCCGACAAAATCCAGTCTACTTCAACTCCTATCTCCCATAGATCCCGCCTGAGATTATCCTCCCATCTACGTCTAGGTCTCCCCAGCGGTCTCTTCCCCTCAGGCTTCCCAACCAATACCCGGTGCACACCGCTTGTCCCATCCATGCGCGCTACATGACCCGCCCATCTCATTCTTCTCGACTAAATCACCCTGACAATATTGGGGGAGGAGTACAGATTTTTAAGCTCTATATATTTACCTATAGGTAAAAATACTACACACTAGATATCCCACGTAAGCTATTCTTTTGTAATGAAAACTGCAAGTCAAAAATTCAAGCTGTATACACCCACACACTATTACTGTAATGTATACTACATATTCACAATTTTCTTATTTCATTTTTCTGTTGTCTTACTTCTTCCCCGTTTTATGTTCTCTTTCCATCACTCTTTGCTTTCTTGTTCTCATTGACGTTTAAAATATCCCGCACGTATCTTAGAAGTCTGGATTTGATTCTCCCACTTGTGGCAAGACTATGCTTTCTGAACACTAGGAAATACCATCCGGGGCAAAAATCATATGAACAGAAAAGAAGTACACTACATCACATTAATTCTTGTTTATTTATTGATGTGTCCATCGTGTCAGTTTATTAAAGATAATGTTACACTGCGTTTTACTTCTTATTCTCTGAACCTGTGGAAGTTTCCAATACTGACAGGTTTTCGCTTAATCCCGATTCCGTTTTAGACACATAAAAACGTGTTACATTTGTTACATGTACGATAATTAAAAAAAAAATAAACGAAATTTATACTCATTGATTTATGTATGTTTTATGTCATGTACCAACTTTTTGTACAACCTTCATAAAAAGGAATTGTTAGACCGATAAGGGAATTCTCCCGACAAATTTTAGTATAGAGAAAGCGAGACAAAAGCTTATGAAAAGAGCAAATATTTTAGGAAATGAAGGACGTGGACAGACAGATGGACACAGCCGTCCCATTGTTTAATTTCATGCATTTCGTGTAAAGGCATAACAAATTCGTAAATTTGGATGCCCTTTATAAACTGATTGACTCGCAAGTAGTGTAAATATGTTATCTGTATCTAGGGTTATTAAAACCTTTGATCTGGAATACTCAGTACCCATACTACTATTAGGAGGAACAATAACTCTCTGTTCTTTTTGTACGTATCGATGCCACGGGCCTCGCATACGTTGAGATTCGAGACCTCGCTCTCTTTGATCTGCGACATTTTAATTTCGGTATAAAATGGAAAATGTATTCTATCGTGATCGAGCCCAGGAATATATTTTAGGCGTGATCGCTAAAAGGTTGTAAAAATGGGCTTATTAGCTTCGCCATGGTTCTCTGTCCGTCCGTCTGTCCATCTGCATTATGTAATAACTCGAGAAACCTAAACATGATTTTAGTAAAATTTGATACTGGGAAATTTTACTAAAGAATTATCGACACATTCATTAAATTACAATTTACACAAAAGGATGGCATAAGGCCCTGTCTCAGCTCCATTTATAATTTCATTAAATCCATTTTAATAATATACTCTCATCTACAGATCTCCACGGTACTCCCTTCCCTTCATGTTCGTATTGAAACATAGCATGCATTTATTATGTTTTTCGTGTATGGTATATTTCTCGCCCATCTCATCGTCCCATCAACTACAAATACTATTTCGCATTGGATGAAATGAGAGATTTGTGTATGATAACACGAGAAATACTAGGAAGGAAGCCCTTATTATATTCTTCTGGTATTTGCTTTGGGAGGTTGAAAAAAGCCACAAAAGTTAGGTTAGGTTACTCGGTTCCGAAATTTAAAGTGGCTTGTAAATAATATCAACCACATTGCCGTTTGATCGAACTTCCTTAGTTTAGAGAATCTTAATAATGAAATTATCAATGTTTAGTCCTAAATATTTTACAACTTGTAATTAAGCCCATGAAATCGGTTTTTGTTTTAGGCCAAAGAAGTTCCCACGGTAATTATCGAAGAAGCAACACCTTCACCCTCTGATTCAGAGACACATATACCAACGTTACAAACTGCATCTGGTTTTCTGAACAACGCAGCCGAAGTTCCTTAATACAAGTGTTTAAGATATAATCATGTCAAAATTATGTACTTATTGCTGTGTGCGAGAAACAAGGACATGCAAGAGACCGCAAGGGAAGTGTCGAACAGTTCACACCGTTCCGGCTGGCTTTCGTGTGTTAAGTTTATCAAAACATAAAGTTGTCAGCAATTAATAAATTAACTGACACTGTTTTATGTGCAAACTATTTATCTGCTGGCAAAGGACGGCGCACTTAAGCAGACCGAATGATAGGACAGACGAAACAATGCAGAGAAAACCAAACACTGTACATGAGATGAGAGGATCGTGCTCCAATAAAACTATTATGAATGAGAAATTAAGCATTGAAAAGTGAAGTGTTTCACGGTTACATCAAAGCACCGGGTACTGACACCACATAGCGTGTATACCCTTTAGATACCAATGGTAACTATGTGTTCCAGCCGCTTCAACAATCAATAAATGTTATGGTTTCACATTATTCTCACTGTAAATAGGGATCATTTCTTAAAAGATCATTAACCAAATGATATTTGTAATGGTGAAGTGTGGCGTTTCCTTTGCGGTACGGACTGAATTATTAAGCAATATTTAGACGAGCTTAGGCTTCGAAGGGTTAAAATTCCTGTTGAACCTAAATATTTCCGCTTCTATAATTTACTGTATTAAATATCTTATTTCTCAATAACATTTACCAAACAGTATGTTAATGTTGAGAAAATAACAGTGATGCAAATAAAAGACTGCTATTTAGTGGCGTTTATATAAGTAAAATGTTTTATTTGAAGTCAATACACAATTTTAATTGGAAGATCCAAAGGGAGACATCTTCGTAAACCTGGGAATAAATGGAAGTAAATGTTAAAATTAATTTTAAAGGAAAAGTTTGTAACACTTTGTAAAGTTGTGACCTGGATTGGGACAGGATCCAATGGTGAGGTTTCGGGATAGCCTTCAAATACCATTAACATCAGGCCAGTTCTTGATGTTTTGTGTACCAAACAACTATATATAGAATATAGTAATCTAAAGAACTTCATATTTACTTAAAACTAAAGCAGCTTTCCGTAGATGGAACAGAAAATTCTGTATGGTCGTATATTTTGCTAAATGAAGTTTTAAAGGCACCAATGAAAGCATGGAACATGCTTACTGTGATTACTGTGTAGATGAATAAATTTTCTTGTAACGATTTTATGACATCAAAACCTAATTCTATGCAACTGAATAAAAAAGGTAAAAGTGAATTAAACAATATCTCATAAAAACAATTTTTATTTGACAAGCAATTGTGTTTTTGACAAACGTAACATTCCATGCCTGTCAAGTCAGCTTTTCTTAAAGTATATCTTTATTTTCTATAAGAGAATCACAGTTGTTTATCATGATGTGTTTACGGTATTATTTTGTACAATATGGTATAAAATTAAAATAAAGATAGAAGCATACGCTTATACTGTTATTAATAGAGAGTGTGAAATTTACAAGTTCCCTGACGTTATCTTCACTACCGCGGGAACGTTAAATCACGAGGTGCTGTGTGTTCGTTCCTTAAAGTGCATGAAATGAAAGCCTACAGGCTGATAATTTATCTCTGTAAGTACGCGTTTCACGTTAAAAGTTACTTTACGGACTTCGACAAAGACTGATATTGGAAATTACTCTAAAAGAAGTCAAGAGCGCGTAATTTTGTTTTCTTTCTGGTCCCATATATTCCTTATACTTTAAATAAAGCCTATATCAAATTCTAGCGATTTTACCAAAAACAGCTCATCGTACAAACGACATAAAATACACTGGTCAACACGTAAAATGTTATGAAAACGAAACTGACCGATCTTAACTAATTTTAGACTGCTGAACACGAAAATCACATTAAAATTTGTCGATTGGCTCCCGTTTTCGAATTACGATTGGAATCTTATATTGGCGAGTTACTATACATTATTATCAGTTATAGTACCACTACGATCTTAAAACGTGATCAGCAACAGTCACCCCTCTCTGCATTATGTGATAAGTTGTTGCCGCCTCAAAAGCACCTTCAACTCTTGCAGTATTCCTCGAATCCGGCCAGGCATTGGGTAATTTGTTCTCAGTTAACGGTTCTCTGTGAGATTCCTACTTCTTGCGCAGTATTTTTGTCTTGTATGCCCCGTAATTGGGGCTAGAAGTAAATTCAGAAAAAAACTAAGTACATGTTGGTAACTCGTCGTCAGCAGACAGGCGGGCAGAATTATCTTAAGGTGGCTAATAAATCCTTTGAAAGAGTCACAAAGTTCAAATATCTGGGAACAACAATAACAAATAAAAATGACACTCATGAGGAAGTTAGGAGGAGACTGAATTCCGGAAATGCTTGCTACTTCTCAGTTCAAAATATTTTGTCTTCCCGTCTGATTTCTAAGAACCTGAAAATTAAAGTATACAAAACAATAATCTTACCTGTTGTTTTGTATGGGTGTGAAACATGGTCTCTCACTCAGAGGGAGGCACACAGATTGCAGGTGTTTGAGAATAGGGTGATGAGGAGGATATTTGAGCACAGGAGAGAAGACGATGGGACATGGAGGAAACTGCATAATGATGAGCTTAAAAATCTGTACTCCTTCCCCAATATTGTCAGGGTGATTAAGTCGAGAAGAATGAGATGGGTTGGGCATATAGCGCACATGGATGGTACAAGAGGTGTGCACCGGGTACTGGTTGGGAAGCCTGAGGGGAAGAGACCGCTGGGGAGACCTAGACGTAGATGGGAGGATAATCTCAGGCGGGATCTATGGGAGATAGGAGTTGAAGGAAACTGGATTTTGTTGGCCCAGGACAGGGTCCGGTGGAGGGCTTTGGTTAATTCGGTGATGAACCTTCGGGTTCGGTAAGCCACCTAGTTAGTTAGTTATGCCCCATAATTTGTCAATAGTCCGGATAACTTCTGTTATGTATGTGGAAATGTCACGTTTGCTTCAAGAAAGTGTACGTTAACTCAAGCCATAAAAAAGACTTACGAATTGTACTTTGGGTGTAGAGTAAGCGATCAGAACAAGAACTGGGCTCCACACATATACTGCACTATCTGTTCATGAAAACTCAACGCGTGGGTAAATCGTAAGGGATGTTCTGTGCCTGTCGCAGTGCTCATGGTATGGAGGGAGCCAACAAATCTCAACACAGACTGTTACTTCCGTGTTGTGCCTCCTATTCGAAAAAGGGTGACAATGAATAAAACGTGGACAGTGACGTACCCAAATACACCATCTGCAATTCGCCCTGTCCCTCACGGTGAACTACTACCTATTCCTGAACTACCCGAATGTTTTTCTGTAGACTCTGATGAAGACACTGATAATGTTCATGTTGAGATTGATATAAACGAAGAAGTACAGCAGCCGTCTACGTCAAGGGATCCACCATTTTGTACAAGTCTCTATCCTTCTGAACCACATAAAATCACAGAAAGTGAGCTTAATGACCTAATCAGGGATCTCGAACTACCAAAGAATAAGACAGAGCTTTTGGCATCGAGGCTACAACAGTGGAATCTTCTAGATCATTTTGTGAAAGTGACAACATTTCGTACTCGAAATAAGACTGTGATTAATTCTATCAAACAGAAGGTGAACTTTCTGACTTCTTAAGGAAAACTGGGGTACAACATGTCATTGAAGATGAATTTCTTGCACTCACACCTGGATTTCTTCCCGTCAAACTGTGGTGCCGTCAGCGACGAACACGAGCGTTTTTTTCATGACATCTCAGCGATGGAGCAAAGATACAAAAACAAATAGAGTTCCGCCATGTTAGACGATGTTTGATAGTGAAAAGGGATGCTCCAGTAGCTAAATATAAGCGAAAGGCAAAAAGGCGCCGTGTTTGACAAAGGTATGTTCGTAGCTACATCTTACTGCCATATAACTAAAAATACCTTGTATAAATATAATAAACTAGTTTTTTCGAAAACAAGAGCCAATGTGCTAATTTAAGCACTTTTTCCGTGTTTATCACCCCAAAATCTATAAAGTAAACTTACTTTAATGCCCATGACAAGAAATGACCCAAAATTGGTTGAGCAGTGATATAGATATCAGTAAGTTTTACAGCGTTTTTGGGAGGCAATTTTCGATGTGATTAGTGTTTAACGAAATCGTGTACAACTGAATATCAATTCTGCATAATATATCTGTAACTCAGTTAACTTACAGCAAAATATACTTGTATTTGCAATAAGGTAATCTGAAAGCCAATAAAATCTGAAAAACACCAAAGAACGTATTCTTTAAGTAAAGTTTAATGTAGATCTTACTCAATTAAATTCTTTATTATTATTAGTGTGCTGTATCAACAACCAGAAAGCCAATTACAGATACAGCACAGAGATGGTCACACGAACACAATAAAAACATAAAAGGTAAAACAAGCAGAATATAAAAATGCATTAATACGGAGGACGTTAATACACAAGAAAATTGCAACTAAATACAATAGCATATTTGTAAGAACAATTTAAATCAATTAAGTAAATTATACTATTATAGAATGTGAAGAAGTGTGACAATTTTCACCTCGAATATGTCAAAGTCCATACAGACAACATTTATACAATTTTATATAACTTGTTTCTAGATACAAATATTCCATATTACTATTTCGTGTACCTTCACTCGCTAGTTGGCTCTCTGTTTGAACGTAATCTTTGATAGATCCAACACTGCTCTTTCTTCAGATCGAACTTTAAAAATTCGGAGCAGCTGGGGTCAGCCGTAGTAGGATGTTATAAATATTTCGCTTATCGCAGGTGAAAGTAAACGTATCGAGATGAACCCTACATTTTTCGCTGCATCAAAGCCAAAGACTTTTTTTGCGCAGTTGTAGTTCAGTTGCAGCCTTGATGAAAAGAATGTGGTCTGTACAGTCACGAACTAATATAATGTTACGTCTCATGCCATTGACAGAATTCAGTACCTCATGAATGAACGTTGTAGTAGTCCAAAATAACAGTGTTACTTGCGAAGGTCTGTTGTATTGTTTATTTTTATTTCTTACCGAAAACAAATATGCCTATGAAATATAAATATTATCTATCCGAGTGTGTCTCATTTCAGTTTGATATCGAGTTCTTCGATTTTTATTGAATACGTTCATCTGACTTTCTTTATTCTCCTTTCTCTTGTTTCCACGTTCGCTTCCCACCAAGAACTCATTTTCTGGAGTGCAAAATATGAATCATAATGAAACTCCTGATTATGAAATTTTCTCCAGCCTCCTGTCAGTTTGTTCACATAGGCCCAGCCCAAACATTCCGCTCAACATTATGTTCTCTAACAGCCTCAACATATATTCTTCCCTTAAAGGGAGAGCCAAGTTTCACACCCATACAAGGCAAGAGAAAAAATTGCAGTTTTGTATGTTTTAATCCTTACGTTCTTATTGAGTACGAGGGCACACAAATGTTTTTGGTTTGTAACTTTAAACCGTTCTTAATTTCTTCATGAATGTAATGCTAATTTGTTTTTGTGAGAACGGTCACTATGCCACATAAATTCTTAAGCTGTTTAATTGTTTCTAAAGAACCTAATACAAACTGCAGGAATACGCATGCGCTGTCTTGAACATGGTAAAAAATATCTTCAGTTTATTTCTATAAAGATTCTATTTTAATCAATACTGATAAATTAAAATTACATAATTTCCATGTATAAACGCAATAAAAGTTCCATTTAGTAAGTGAAGGAACTGGTACTGTTTTATGCTTTAGAACCACGTTCACACGCTCCATAAAAATCGAAGGTTTCATTTCTCATGTATCGTAACACAATCTCATTCGATTGGAACTGCTCGATG